AATCAACACATTCAAATGTAAAAGATTGATGGTATCTTCATTCACCCAATGCGGACCATTCATTGCTCGGTCGACCAAATGCTTTATCGTAGTATCCTTTTCACGGCAGTCAAATAGCAACCTATTGGACTCTGTGTGCTCTAGTTTTTGGCGCTTCGCCTTCGCACCCAGAAGATGAGATGAGTTGTTGTTTTTTGTTGTTGTTGTTTTTTTTTGGGGGGGTTAAAGTGTTTTACGGCGCTCGCAACTGCATAAGGTCATATGAGCGCGCGGGACACAGTAAACATTTTCAGTTGGTAGGAAATTTTTAATTTTGCCCGGGTGGCGGCCGAAGCCTACTCTTATCGATTTTAGACGACCAAGGGTTCTTTAACGTGCGCAGCTTGCACACTGGACCTCCGGGATTTTTCGCCCTTGTCCGAAAAGGCTAGGTGTAGATCTTTCCAACCAGAAGATCAGGGGGGTGGCTGAAAGACAGCAGTAAGAAGGAGCCAGAGAGTAGCAGTAGAAAGACTGCAGAAAGAGTCAGAAGACCAGAAGAGGGGGCAAAGGAGGTGAGGGGGGTGCAGGAAGAAAGTGGAGACGAAAGTAGATGACAGAAAATTGCGAGAGATCAGGAGGTGACAGGAGACAATTTTAGAGAAGAAAACGTCTCCATCGCTACCCGGATTCGAACCCGGGAGTTTTGAATCAGAGGCGAACACTTTAACGTCTAGGCCACGAGAGCCCGCGGGTAGTTTTTGACGCTTTGCCGTTACGAGCAGAAGATACTGTGATTGTCGAGGTTTTACACCACCACCACCACCAATAACAACAACAACAACAACAACAACAACAACAACAAAAACAACAGCAGCATCAGTAGCAGCTCCAGCAACAACAACAACAACAACAACAACAGCAGCAGCAGCAGCTCCAGCAACAACAACAACAACAACAACAAAAACAACAGAAATAACAACAACATCATCATCATCATCATCATCATCATCATCATCATCATCATCATCATCATCATTTCGGTCACTATCTTCACCAACAGTCAATGGCTAAGCATGGCACCAGGGGGAACATCACCACCCCTCGTCCAAATGCGACTACACATGAATAATGCAACACCCCAACCCACCATTCAGTGGATCCCTGGTCATATCGAGATTCTTAGCAACGATCTCGTTGACAGTAATGCCAAACTGGCAACAGCGCTGCCGGGTCCAGGCCGCCAAATGGCATACGGTCGCTTTTGAGGACAAGCGGGCTATATTGACATACGCCAAAAGTGGGCATTGCCCTACCTATAGGAGAAGTTTGGTTTCATTAGTGTGTATATTTGTTTGGTTATAGAGATACGCCCCTGCAAAACGACAATAACAACAACAACAACAGCAGCAACAACATCATCAATATCATCATCATCATCATCATCATCATCATCATCATCATCATCATCATCATCATCATCATCATCATCTTTATCAGTAACAACAACATACGCACCTGCAAAACAACAACAAAAATAACAACCACAACAACAACAACAACAACAACAACAACAACAACAACAACAACAG